GCAGCACCAATCCCCGCTTGCCTCGACATCTTCCTGTGGTCCTGGATCTTCACTACCAATCCATAACTAGTCCCACCCAACTGCTTCCACTATACAGCTATTTAGACCCTGTTCACTTCCTCAATAAACGAGACTTGATCAGAAAGCCTGTCTTGTCTCCGTCTCTCGTGTCTCTTGCCCTGTCTTGTTCATCCCCGTTCCTCCTCCAGGTCATTACCCCACATCTCGACTCGCGGGCCGAGTCAAGTGGCGCCCCACGTGGGGCCTGGCACGGGGGATTCAACGAGGGAGCCGTTGGAGAGCCCGGGTACGAAGCAGAGAGTGAAAGTGAATTCCGAGGCCAACGCTGCACGAGTGCCTGCCGCGCCGCTCAGCCACGGTGAGTGACCGGCAGCCCCCTTCCCCTTCCCCTTCCCGGCATGGGTCAGGCATTAAGCAAGCATGAACTGTTTTAGAAAGCCTCAGCAAGGCACTCAAGACACAAGAGATTAAGGTAAAAGAAAAAGATTTATTACAGTATTTTAAGTTTATTCATGAGGTTTGCCCGTGGTTCCCATTGGAGGGCACGATCAATTCTAAAAGATAAAAATGAGCGGGCGATGCATTACAAGATTATTATAGAGTTTTTGGCCTTGAAAAAGTCCCAATCACAGCATTTTCATACTGGGGCTTGATTGACGAGATTCTTACACAGCGACATAGAGACTCTTTGGTCAGAAAAATGATTACCCACGGAGAAGCTGTCCTGCGTAACTCTAATAGGCCCACTCCGGCCCCTTCCCAGGCTGGTTTAGAGGTCTCCTCTCTCCATGGTGAGGAGGCAAATGAAGTGTTAACTAAACCCCAAGATAACAAACAGCTTCCACCTTCCCCTAATGAGCAGCTGCCGCCTCCCCCTTCTGAGCCTTTGCCGCCTCCTCCGCCCAAGGCTCCTCTCCTGACCCATTATAAATCTTTGTATCCCGACCTTACTACTTTACAAGAGGTCAATTGGGAAGACTTAGCCAAAGAGGCTTCCAAAAACCGTCCTGACCCCGTTGCAGCACCAGTTGCTACAAAACCACCTCCTGATAATAATGAACTGTCCAAATTTGCTCTAAATCTTTCAATGTGCTTTTGGACCTGAAAAATCGACTGTTTTAGAGGCTTACATTACATTTACAATCTTTGCAGGCTGATCAGACACATGACACCCCTAAGATGGCGCCTGGGTCCAGTGAGCCCTTGCCTAAAATGGCGCCTGAACACAGTAAGCCCCGCCCAAAATGGCATTTCCGGTTTGGGAAGTGATGGC